AAATAGTTATTGGTTGTGAGTGCGATGTTTCCTGACATTTTCATCATTCATTAGAGATCAGATATCACTATTCCTACTAACTTATCACTTATTTTGAACACAATTAATTCGTGTATAATCTATACTAAGCTAATTAAACTGTAATTCAATATAAGCTCGTAACTAATATGTAATTTTAACATAATCTGTATATAACTACTCTATGTCACTAACAAATTTTACGAGGGAAACATTCCCGTGTTTTTACTTAATTATTGTAAAAATATAAATAAAGTCTCGTAAGCAACGAAACGGGATTTCACTGTATCAGCAGATACACATTTTTACTAACCTAGATTTAAGTGTACGTGGGATTAAAGGACTTAATGTATGCATGCACTTCTGCAGCTGACAGTACCAATTCACATACGAGTAATAAAAACAAAACTATTAATAAAATATTTATGAAAAATGTTGACAGATTATAATTTTTATATTTTATTAAGTAGTTTATTTAATATTGTTTGGGAATTGATAATTAACTAGGCTGACAGCACTCTTAAGTACTTTTTTATGCTAAAACTAATGATATATCGCAAGTGTTTGCCAAGGATTGTATAGTAGTTGACTGTGACATTGTTATTGATGCTGTCCATTGCAATATAGTTTACTAGCAGCCGCTCCGGCTCCGCTCGGGTCTTTAACAAAAGTTTCAACGATATTTGACGTTGTTTTACTTTTTAAAATAAAATAACACTTATTGCGGCATAACTATAATATTTAGACATATGCTGCCGCGACGCTTTTTGTAAATAATAATGTGTTCTACAAAGTCGTAGTACATTATTTTATTCTATCATCAATAGTTTTCACGGCACGCGATGTAAAGAATATCTTAGGTATTTTTTTTAGACCTTGGGTTACATTATTGAAGTTTTAAGTACGGATCCCTAATTTTTTCAAAAAAGATTATAGCCTATGTCTCTCAGGAATAGCGTAGCGTACAAACAGTGAATTATTTTTTCAAATCGGTTCAGTAGTTTCGGAGCTTATTCAATACAAACAAACTAACAAACAAATCTTTACTCTTTATAATATTAGTATAGAAGTATAGATTGCAGAAATGCATGAATGAGTGACTGATAAATGATCAAAACACGAATAGGGCCCGCACGTGCTTATTTCTACCGCGGAGCAGTCTTGCGATATTGTTTGAGATAAGTTTGAGTCTGGCGATGGGTGGGGGGATTCAAATTGTGATATCTACAGTGACTATTATCAGCCGGGTAGACCGTGAGCTAGTTTGGCTTTCTACCCTGTAAATAAAAAAACTAAAGCACTATTGGCCGTGTTTGTCTGGTTGGTTAACTTGGTTAGTATGTCGCAAAACTTGGGGTATAGGCCTAACGTGCCCATACGTCCCGCTGTCCCCAACGAGAACAAAAATGTCCCGCTTTCATTAAAATTTATCTGTTGTGAATGTGTTTAAATAAATAATAAATAAATATTTACTAACAGTCACGCCACGTTAACTGGTCCCGTGCTAAGTTCGTAAAGAACTTGTGTTACAGGTACCAGATAACGGAAATAAATGTAAGATTTTTATTATACACGTACATATATTTAATATACATCCATAACCCTGGAAAAGACATTTATATTTATCATAGAAATATCTTCCCTTGTCGGGATTCGAACCCGCGACCACCTTGTGTAGTGACCATGTCACTTACCACTATACCAGACGGCCGTTTATTAGAAACTTACCGAATACTTACTTCTCCAAAATCCGTATTGTATTACAAAATATATACTAAAGTAACTCTAATTTTGCTGTAGAAAAGTAGTTTTTTGTTGCGAAATTATTTATAAATATTATTTTAAGGGCAAGTTGGTGTAAGAATTAAGATGTCAGTAAGGGTAAGATACCATAATAAATTATTTCAAGTCATTTTTTAAACCATATTTTTTATTTTGCACTTAAATATTACATCTTACCCCGACGTACTCTATATATTTATATACGAGATTCCGTAGGCGCCTCGCTTTGACACGAAAAAAAATTGTCACGTTGGGTATACCTACTACCATTCTGCCCATTTCTGTCACGAAGGGCAGGACAGTGTCTCCAGTATGGACTCTGGCAATCACTAAACTATGTGCAGATTAAGCTACAACTCTAGATCTGTTTAAGAAAAACATGAAATACAATTTTATCTAAAATAAGTGACAAAAAACAGTTCTTAAATTTTATAGAGCCACGTAGAGGCCATAGTCCGTTAATTTTAAATTTTTTTATTGTACTTTTAAGCAGACGAGCATACGGCCACTGATGGTGAGTGTAGAGCCAAACCGTTGCCTACCGTTAAGTACTATCAACAAGCCTTGTTTGAAGAAACAGAGCTCATTCCAAAGCCGAATGGTACGTGACAAAAAAGATCTCTGGAAACGCACTGTGGATGAACGCATTGGCTCCAGGGAGTATGAATAAACTCTACTCCGATGGCGGGCGGTGCGATGGCGAAAAACGATTCAAACAATCCCTCAGAGTATGTACTCCCTAATTTTAACTATATAACAAAAATTAGACGTTGAGCCCCGTTGTAGTAACCGTATTTTGTTAATAGACATAAATCATAATTTTAGTACCTCGCGAGAACAATGAAACCGCATTCAAAAGGTCGCTGTGTAGTGAGTGGTTAAGAAATACAAATTTAAAATAACAGTAACACATTATAATATAGTTTATCGCTTTCTTTTCAGTACACGATTTAGTTACATTAGTTATAGTCCGACAAAGGAGAACTATCACATGCGAACTCATTCATTAAAATTAAATAAAGTTCACACAATTCGGTATCGAACCAAAAGAGACTACGATTAAAAATTTAAAATGCCGATAGCATTGAACGAAAATCGAATTGAAAAACAACAATAAATTTAATAACGGAATCGATTCGTAAACACATTTTAAATGTTCTGTTATCGCTTGACGACAACATAATTTTTTTTAGTTTCTCGGTTTCGCTAAAATAAAAGCCTGCGTCGAGACAGACGTCCGTTACCAACGCGTTCCACATACGAAATAATAATTGTATTAAGGAAACATGAGCGTGGCGCATGTGTTTGTTTGTTTGTTTACTCTGAGATGACGTCACGTGTTTATTCTCGCCGGGGAGACTGGGGTCGATCGGTTCAGTACGTAAAAACTGTAATTTTTTTTTTCTGTTAGTTATTTTAGTTAATGAATATTTTAATCGTCTTGTTTCAAAAATTATTCGTAACAGTCTCAGTTGTAACATTTGAAATTAATTTCACTATAAAGACACGATTTTTCTCTTCAGCTTTAAGTTGTCGTTAAAATCTTATCTGTTTTTAGCATTTGAAAAACAACTACTAACCAAAAAAGTTTGACTAAATTCCAAAAGAATATATTAATTCCTTAAACGAGTAATACATACATTCGCTAAACGCAAGCCACTCTTATGTCATTGCTTCATCTTAAATTTTAGTTCTAAAACAAGATATTGTGAGTGATTTAGATTTCCTGAATTAACATTTATAACTTGATCGAATTAACGATATAATATTATTCACCTCGTTTAAGAAGAAAAACATAATTATCCTGTTTCTTAAATATGTGAACGCCGAAACAGGCTGCACTGTGTGTAACCTTTAAAAGATGCTCGCTATTTTATGAGACTATTTTAACTTGTTTTTCATTTCGAACTTTACTGAGTATGTTTTCCTTTTTAGTGATAAAATTTATCATTTTACTTTGTCCAGTAACTTCTTTAGTTTTGGCTGGTCGTAAACATAATTAAAACCACTTTCATTTCTACTTTTACATAATAATATGTATTCAAAACGTCAGATATAGTTTAATGAGAATAAAAAAAAGCGATATTAAATCATCGACTAGTTTCAATTATTATAGTTTCTTGATGTTTTTTACTGGTGGTAGGGCTTCTTCTGAGTCCGCACAGGTAGGAACCACCACCCCGCCTATTTCTACTGTGAAGCAGTAATGTGTTTCGGTTTGAAGGGTTGGGCAGCCGTTGAAACTATACTGAGACTTTAGAACTTATATCTCAAGGTGGGTGGCGCATTTACCTTGTAGATGTCTATGGGCTCCAGTAGCTACTTAACACCAGGTGGGCTGTGAGCTCGTCCACCCATGGAAGCAACAAAAAAAAAAGTGAAATAAAAAATAATTATAATGACAGCGGCGTTATCGTTGACGCAAGTGAGTAGCGCCACATAACTCTCGAGCACCGAGTTACATACCAAACAGGGTATCTGGACATTCACGGTTTGCAAATTACCCGGCGTTATCACGAAAAAAAATTAGATTTACGACCTCTGGTAGGCGCGTCGTCTGCTGAATGTCTGAATGGCCACAGTGAGTGTCGAACTAGGCTAGATACAAATGCCGGTAGGCCCAGGCACGGCTGTGACGGGTGGATATCATGTGACCCGCGTCGCCTCTTGTTTACACACGCACACAGCGACGCGCACGCACACTCCGCCACGCCCGCCGAGCCGCTTATTTAGGTATATTGTTGTTTATTTTATTCGGCGCTATGCTCCGACACGGGGCGAGCCTTTCGACTCAGTTTTAACGCGTACGTTTTATGAAACGACAACTATGCGTCGATGTACGCTCGTCGGCAATAATAATTATTCATATCGGAACCGCTCCTAGCGACCGAAATAGCGACGCGGTAAACAAATTCGCGATTTTATTGGCAGGTTAACATTGTTCATTTTAATAGTTGATCGACTGTACTTTTTGTTTTTTTAGTTCGTTTGTTTTTCGTATTATCTCGACCGCTTTGTCGCACGCCGGTGCCTCTTGTCTCCGCGAATCTAAATAGCAGTTAATCATAGTTTATTTTTACCGCGCAACGTGTGTTAATAAGTTTCGGGGCCGATTGTCGCGTTTCTTTTATTTTGTATTTCGATTGAACTCGCTTATTTCGAATTGCGGAAGAGATTNTTTTTGTTTTTTTAGTTCGTTTGTTTTTCGTATTATCTCGACCGCTTTGTCGCACGCCGGTGCCTCTTGTCTCCGCGAATCTAAATAGCAGTTAATCATAGTTTATTTTTACCGCGCAACGTGTGTTAATAAGTTTCGGGGCCGATTGTCGCGTTTCTTTTATTTTGTATTTCGATTGAACTCGCTTATTTCGAATTGCGGAAGAGATTGTGCGTGAAAAAAAAAAATGTTCGCGAATGATGACTGTTCACCCGAAGACCCAGTTATAAAGATAAGGAATTGTATATCCGAACGACAACCTTGATAAGTTGTATTTATAAATTAATAGAATAAATTACATACGTATTATATTATAATTTTGCAAAAGTTTATTTGATTGTGGAATCGAAAATTCGGCTGTCTATTCGGGATTTTGGCGGGAACTCGTCCGTGGAGGTAACGAGGAAGAAGGCTGCACAGAAAGTTTGGAAAAGTGTTGAGCATACATCGGATGCTGGCGAGTGTTTTTTCAACGCGTTTTCGAGGCTAAGCGCTAGTTGTTTGAACAAGTGTGTTTTCTAATGGATTTATTTTGAGGTGAGTTTAAATTTACTTGTGTGTTGGTGTTTGTATTGTTTGCTTTTCGTGTTTTGTGTGAGTGCTCGCGCCGGTGGCGGGAAACCGAATACCTAGTTGCCGGGCCCTCTGTGTGAGTGTACAAACAATTGCGATTGTGTGCGTGCGCGACTTATTGTCACTCTTTGTAAGCGGGGAGACAAGGAGGGAGAGGTTACTTGTCATGTATTTAGGCGAAGACGAAACTTTGATGAGTTGACTTTTTAATTCATGTCCACCTTATATGGTTATACGAAGATATAATATGTTATACACGTTCTGTTATTACACGTGTATCTTTCGGCCGCGTATTTTGTATTAGCACGCCACATTTTCGAGAATCTATCGTCAATTTTCTGCTTGCTTTTTTGTACGTTTTCGGCAAAGTCTGACGTTATGTCCGATCTGATTATAAGGATTAGCCAAAGAGGTTGCTTCTGCTTACACCAACATTTCCATAGACTTCAAGCTCAGCGTTTATTTTGATCCATGAAGCGTCTATGAGTTTTATGGTTACTTAACAAAATCAAATTGTCGGATGCCGTGCGCGAATGTACGTTAAATGCTAAGTCAAATATTTAAGAATATTTCGTACTGATTTGCAGTGCTAATTACAAGGTTAGGCAAATATAAAATTAGATAATTAAATAAAATAAAAAAAGAAAAAACACGCAACTAACATTAAGCGTGGAAACGAAAAATACATTTTTTAGTAAAGTAATTTTTTTCATTCGCGCGAAAAAAGACACAATGAAACGACTTTTTTTTAGTAAAAAGTCTACTACAGACTAGGTATACATTCATTTTGAATTGTGTGTTATGAGAAACAGATTTAGATTTTTGCTTTTCGAATTTGCCCACACAGAGTTTCTCGCCGGATCTTCTCAGTGGGCCGCGATACCGACCCGGCGGTAGATTCTGCGAAGCTATGCTCTTGCTAGGGCTAGTGTTAGCAAATCCTCTCAGGTTGAGCCCGTGAGCTCACCTCTATCCGTCCGGGCGTAGCTGGAATAGCCTCTTAGGCTACCAGCAAATAGGTAGGGAAGAATAAAAAAGGTATTAGAAGCAATACGAATCACCGACGCCCGCTCCGAGAGGCTGCGGGATATATTTAAAGTTTTAATCTAATATACTTAGGCTTTAGATTGGCACGCACCAATTTTCGCGGCCGAAATAGATAGAACGATTATACCTAGCCGTCCGGTCCATATAGTTTTATCACGTTTATAAAACAATGTGCTGTGTAAATGGAATTACAGAAGAACAGTTGTTTGTTAATTATGAGACATAATTACTACCTAATAAAGACGAAAAGGGCTTGAGATCGAGGGCGTCGCGTCGGGACATATATGAGTCCTATAAAATCAAAGGCAGCTAAATCCAAGTCTGTCAAATATTCAGGTAAACTACAAAAATCAGCCCTAAACACGTCATTACGGATCCTCCCGATCCATCGAAGTACTGCTCTTGCTAGGACCAGTATTAGCAACACTCCCGGTTTGAGAAGCTGAAATAAGTTTGTTCGGATAGCTACGATATTCTTTATTTTAAAGCACGTTTATAAAGAATGAGAATATTACTAATAATCTGAATTTTAAATGATAAAACTTCGTTTATTAGTACTTAGTACTGAGTAAAAATAAAATTTTTGAACTGAATTTGTTAGGACATTTAGCTGCATTTGTTATAACATGAAAACACTAAACCGTGTCCAACTAACTAAACAAGATAGCGCCATTGTTGTATCAATTGTTGTATCATCTCAAATTGCATATACATATTTAATCAAGTTCATACTGGTCCGGACATTAGAGCGAAGTTATTAAATTATTGTATTTGTATCGGTCAAGCTAATCATACGTCTTGAAGACGGCAAAATTGACGGTCAAAGATTCGGTTACGTACAAACAAACATACGTGCGCGCGTTAAAAATATCTGTGAGTGACGGTGAGCACTCGTCAGCTGGTCGGCCGTGAGCCTCCGATGGCAATGCCTGTATTTTCGAAAGTAACCCAGTGAGTTTCTCGTCGGATCTTCTCAGTGGGTCGCGATTCCGTTCCGATGGTAAATTAGGCGAAGCGCCCCTCTTGCTATTTTTTTTTAATTGCCTTTGAAGGTAGACGAGTATACGGCGCATCTGATGGTAAGTGGTCACCGTCGCTCATGGACGTCAGCAATGCCAAGGGCAGAGCCAAGCCGGTGCCTACCGCTGCTAGGGCTTGTGTTAGCAAATTCTCTAAGGTCGAGCCCGTGAGTTCATCCACCCATTCGCTCATAGCTGACCCTTAGGCTACCTGCGATAATAACAGCCCAGCCCAGCTTAGGTTACCAGCGATGACAAAAAAAAAACAATCAGAAGTTCATAATTCTTATCTCTTAAAATCCTTAAGGCTGATACTTCACCGCGCTTATCTTAATACTTGCAAGTTTGCATTAAGCAAATATGCACGTTCAAGCAAACAAAATAAGAACCGAAGCTTCGTGTGTACAAAAAACGAGGGCGACATAGCACTCGACTCACCCCATATTTTCGTCCATCCCTCCTGTTTACCTTTCTCAGCGCGGCGAGATTCTACACCCATTTTAATATAGTTTTTAAACGTTTGAGATATTTATTGTTGAAATTGCCAACTTGGTGCCATAGAGCATTACCGATCAGCTAAGTCTGGTTCAAACTAGACACGACCTTCGGTCATGAAGAGACCGACTCAGAAGAAGATGAAGTCTGGTGGATGTTTTTCGTAGCAATGCTTGGATTAAAAAAAAAAATTAAGTATCTGCTGGTATGTCACTAGATAGTATAAAACAAAGTCACTTTCTCTGTCCCTATATCCCTATGTATGCTTAAATCTTTTGCAACGGATTTTGATGCGGTTTTTTTTAATAGATAGAGTGGTTGAAGAAGAAGGTTTATATGTATAATAACATCCATTAAATAGTGGAGAAATTATTAATAAATTACAGTTTCCGAAGCGAATCGAGGGCGGGTCGTTAGTAGTCAACAAAACGCGAATTCGTGCTTTGAGATATGAGGTCGAATTTTCAAGTCTTCAGTTCGGACATAACAGCGTTTTTTATGTTTGAGAGTTTATTGGTGGCCTGGAGGCCTTCCAGTTTTATCAGGACAGGTGAGCGAGCAAGGGTTTAGCCAGGAGGGGTGGGATTTGCTAACACCTATCCAAGCGCCTCCAAAGGAGACCTAACAACTCAAGAATAGCTGCTTCGCGAATGAATCTACTACCGGATCGGAATCGCGACCCGCTGAGAAGATCCGGTGAGGAACTCAGTGGTGAGGAAGTCAGATAGAACAAGACCCAATTAGTCAAAAATGTAATCTTGTTTGGGCTTACATTCTTTATAGAAATAATTAACTCATTTTATTTACAATCAAGTAAAGATGAAGTAAAATAAATTTGGTAAATGAAACAAAAAATATGATCCGAAAAAACAGAGGGAACATGCAAACCAGATTTGAATATAATTTAACGTCTCTACATTTCCTATACTAACATTCGAGTTATTTTACCTTTTATTATTACGTATTATTTATATAGTATTGGACTTGTTTTTTTCTATTTAATTGGGTAAAACGCAGGGTTTCTTTTCTTAATGTATTTTAACATTATCATAACCTCATTACTTTTTCATATAACACCATCAATCTACGCATTTATCTTCTTTTGGATGTTTGAATGAAACATTCACACTCTTAAATCGTTTGTCGATATATCCCTTTGGAAAAGCTATGCTTAGGTGATTTGCTCTTGAGGTTACTAACCATCTGATCATCATTGTTCCGGGAAAATATCTGACAAGAGATGCGCTACTTTATTTAAAAGACTCTCAGGAGGATTGTAGCGTAAATTGTGTGATACAAGTAACCCATCTATAACATGGTAGATACGTTCCTACACAGCCCCGTATTGTGCATATTTTTATTGGTGGTAGGACCTCTTGTGAGTCCGCATGGGTGGGTAGCTACTACCACCCCGCCTATCTCTGCCGTGAAACAGTAATGCGTTTCGGTTTGAAGGGTGGGATAGCCGTTGTAACTATACTGAGACCTTAGAACTTATAACTCACGGTGGATGGTGCATTTACGTTGTACATGTCTATGGGCTCCAGTAACCACTTAACACCAGATGGGCTGCGAGCTCGTCCACCCATCTAAGCAATAAAAAAATATGGGACTTGAAGCCAGTATAAAAAGCAGAGTAATCTTTCTGAATTAAACATCTCAACTATTCCTCTATGTATTTTTTTACCTATTATACATTAAAAATATGCAGTAAAATTTCAGGTATTCCCATGTATTCCCATATATTGTGTGTTCATAGTGCATAATGTTTATTTTCTAAATAATTTTAAACAATAATCTCGTTATGGTGTTCTTATTTTTATTTTTTATGATTTATGGATTACTGGTGGCCCGGAGGCCTTTCCAGTTTCACCAGGACAGGCGTTATCGTGTTGTAGAAGTACCGTGTTATAAGGGGGTTTTGTGGAATATTTCTTCTCGTGTTAGAGTGGAACCGTGTTGTAAAATACCGATAATAAGAGGAGCCCGAATTATGATATTTCTATAAATTCGTTTGCGTTATTGCCTGCTCTTTGTATCTCTGGTATCCTGATGTAATATTTTTGGTTTGTGCATTTTACCTAACAATTCTCTTAAAACACTGGACAAGTCTACATATTAAGAATACGTGGTAAATTTGAAAATAGCTTTTTTTTTTTTGGTCTGAAGGAAATCGCTGGACTTCCGCCCTCCACTGGGGATGGAGGGCGGGGCATGTCAGAGTCGAACTGACTAAAACCTCCTGTCGCTCAACAACCAACGTCCAAACAGTAAATTTTTTAATGTTTCGTGGACATTAATATTACTTTATATTAAAACTCCATGTACGGCTTAAGCTCCCATTTTTATTATTGTCATGTTATTCTCTCCCGTCTCCGAGTCGTCTGTGATCACGAAAACTGT